CCCCAAAACCCCAAAACCCCAAAACCCCATTGATGCAAATAGATCAAATAGCACAAAATTAATTATTAAATCAAGATTAAATTGTAGATGGCATCATTATTACCCTTGTATTCAAGTATAAATTTCAATAATTTGGACTTAAGCTCTATTAAAAATTTCATCTTGACAATAAATTTCATAATGTAGCTTTCATTCTCAATCTTTTCTTAACGCTCTTAAATATTTTTTAAGTATCACTCTACTTGGTAGTATCCCAAGGATTTTCTTATCTTATTTACTCTAAATGACCATTATGAACCTCTAGAGAGGAAGTAACCTAATAATCAAGATTTTAATTAGCATTTTTATTTGTCTAAAAGGTATTTCTTTAGAGATTAAGAGCGGCTAGCGTCATTATATCAGAATTTTACTCTAAATCAAGACTTTCTACTATTATTTCATCTAGCTTATCTTAATTTGTGTTAATCTTAGGTGTTCTATTTTTATTATTAAATCTACTTTTCTTTGAATTTAATACATTTACCGTGTTGTTACTTTTAGCTTTTTTGCCGTGTGTATTGAGAGAGTGATTTCTGGATTACTTGCTTATAGAAAAATTTGTCTCTGATGTCTCATAATTTACGCTATTCAAATTGATATTCATAATCAAGTCGTCTTGAATTTATCTAGTAGGTGATCCCTCAGGTTCATTAATTTTAACTGTTATAATCTATTAATTATTTCGCTTTCTTCTGTTTTAAGGCGTGTCATATTTTTGAATTTGTTCTAATTCGAGACTTAATTACTTATATTTTTACTTCAAGCATTCTTATTTCTTTTGGTAGATTTAAAATATTTCTGCATCTAATTCTTAATCCTCTTTTGGAGCCCCTTCAGTTTCTTAAAAATCATCTAGCTTATATTCTTCTCTTTCTGCATTCTAATACTAGGCTAAAGGATCATAATCCTCTTTCTCATTTTCTTTGTATTCATGTGGACTTATTAGCTTTCCAATTAAATTATCATTTGTATTTTCCATAAAATTTATTGAATCTCTTCTCGCCATTTTAGGGTTGGGGATCTTTCTTTTTTTTCTTTTTGTACTATTTTCCACTTATCTTGGTAAGAAGTCATTAGCTGTTTATAAAATGAATATTGAATTACCCTCTTGGTAAGCTGTAGCATTTAAGTTTGTTTTTTCAAAATTACTTAATAATTCCTCTTGAAATTTATCATTATCCTTATCTGTAAATATTTAGAGTAATTCTTTATTTAAGTAATCTAGAACTTAGATTTTACTATTGTAGATTTATTTTTTTTTCTCTTTTCTTTTTTTTATCCATTCTTTTAATTTTATTTTCCACTTACTTACTATTTATACAAGATCCACTGCTGAAAGTGTAATCATTACTGATATATTGATCAACATGTTGAAAACTGTTATAATAATTAGTGACCAACCTGCCATATACTGTAAGTCATCATCTGGATTATAATCAGTAAGTATTAAAAGATGATAGGCAGCACCAATGATGCAAATTTCATTAATAATCTCCAAGAAATTATTTAAAGGTTTTTAAAATGGTTTGGTAGAAACCAAATAGATTATTACAAAAATGCAATGAAATATTAATGCTTAGATTTGAAAGAAGGGATAGTCTTAGCCAATGATAGCAACTCCAGCAAATATAATTCTTCTACCCATGTATATAACATTGAAAAATAATGGAGATTTTGCATTCGTCCTAATATCAGCATAAAGTGCTCCATAAGAATTTTATACTTTCATTTCCTATAGATTTTTGTATTTTGGGATAAGTAATCCCATTATCATAAATGGAAATGTAAAACTTGTACAAACTAACATAATAGCTAGCACAGACGCAAATCTCTCACTATTACTGTCCCATTTGAGCTAATTTTAAAGGTTAATTAATTAAAACTTACAACATATAAGTTAAGGCAAGAATTAATAAAAAAAGACATAAATCCCTCCAAGAACATTCTTATAGGAGTATTAAACAAAAGCCTTTTAGCAAAAAAATCATAAATTCTTTTAACCCTATAAAATGAAACTAGGATAAATAAGTAATTCTATAATTATTTAAAGGAAATTTATTCTTAAGTTAGACTTACTTTTCATTTTTATTAGCAAAATATTTAACAAAAACAATACATATTATTCCAATAGCGATTACAACCATGTATATAAACATACTTCCTAAATTTTGAACAACATTACTTGTTTCATAACGTAATCTTAGTTAAATTTTGAAGTTAGAGCAATGCAGGTTATATTTAAAAGATATCCATCATTTAAAACTACTCGGGAGTAGTTGAATCTTCAAATTCAAAAACATTAGATTGTATATCCTATGAAGGAAGGATATCAAAATTAGCCATATCCATAAGAAGGCTATAGAAAAATACTGCATTAATAGGAAAATTCACATTCATCAAGGGCATATTAATGATAAGCTAGAGAACATTAATCATACCCCAAAGCATCGATAGAGAAGCAGCCCTATTAAAATCAAATATAAAAACTAAACTTACATAACAATATTAAAGGCTAGTGAGCCATACATAAATGAGCTTAAAGTACTCACTCCAGAGCCTCCATTTGATGCTAGAGCTGCAGTTGCACCTAAAATTATAAAAAACATAATGACTTACTATCTGTCCTTAATTATTTAGGTACATTTCTTTGAATCTAATATGAGTAAGATATTGGAAGCCCAGATTGCTTTTCAAGGAAGAAGCCATTATACAAAAATGTAATTTGTAATTTATTTAAGTACTACAGAACCTGTTATAGAATAATCTAAATAATACATTCTTAGATAAAAGAGAGGGATCATCAAACTTCATTTATATCTTCATAACTCTTGTTGAAAAATCTAAAATGCTAATGAGTGAAAATAGTTTACCAGTTACATTCCAGGTGTAATTTATTCTTTTATCAATTTTACCTTCATCATCTTTAATCTAGATAAGCATAACCTTTGAGTCGAAATTTTTATAATCAGCAGGAATTATTACATTGGTGCTAAATTAAACATTAACAAGTCCTTTAATTGAAATAGATCTTATTTCTGCTTTTAATTTTATCGATTTTTTATCCTTAATTATATTCTTTTTTACTGGTATTGATCCTATATTTATGTTATTTTCCTAATCAGAAGTTGAATCAACAGTTTCTGATGCAGTTTTTGTGACAGTAATTTAGAATGTGTAAGTTCCAGATAATGGATTCATATTATCGTCAGTGACAGTTACTTAGACTTTATACTCTCCGAGATCAGAGAATTTTGGTTTCAATTAAAAATTTGGATAACTCCCAGAGATAAAAGCAGCTTGTCCGAATTTGGGGTCACTCACTGAAACTACATCTCCATCAGTATCTATAGGATCGGAAAACACAAGTTAAGTTGTTTCTCCAACTTTCATTGAAATATCTTATAATTCAGGGATGAACTTTGGAGCAGCAAGATTTAATTGTGTTATCAGTAATGGGATTGTAAGAATACTTGTGATTGCGCTTTCAATTCCAGGATTATTCACAGAAGCAGTTATTATTATTAAATATGGGTTTTTCTTACAATCTTATTTTGAGGTTGAGAGTACTTGTAAATTTAGGGGATCTGTAGTAGTGATTAACGTTAAAAATGAAGGTGGTGTAAGGTATCCTAAAACTTAAATTGAGTATGCTATTTGAAAACCACATGAGCTTCCTGTTGTTGTGGTTTCTGTGAATGCATTGAAAGTTATATCCTTAGTTCCTTAATTTATGAAATAAGTTTAAGTTGCTAGAGTATTAGTCTGAGTATCTTAAGAACTCGGATCAAGAGCAATAATAGAACAGGCCGATATTCTTAAAGTAAATGTTTAGGTAGCCTAAGCAACTGTTGATGAATCTTTACCTTTCAAACAAATGATATATTCATTGCCAATAAGAGATCAATCACCAGTTCTTACAGTTATCTTTTTATTAGTTGGATCTAATGTCACAACTGGCTCTAGAATTGCTCCACTTCCTGCTTCAATTTACGTGCCTGTGCAAGAATCTTAATATAAGGTATATTAAGTATCGCATGAGCCAGTTGCTACATTGAATTCTTGATAAGGTATGTCTAAAGTTGATCCAATACTATATATCTTAAAAGACCCTATAGTGGTAGTAGGGACTTCTAAGATACAACTGGCAGGAACAATTGTAAGAGTTATTATCAATATAGGGGAAGTATAAGTACCTGAATCCTAGGTGCTAGCAACTTACCCGCTTATCTTAATCAAATAATTCCCTGTGGCTGCATTATCGGATTAAATCTTAAATTTACCAGTTGAACTTTCAAAACTTTTAATAAATGAATTCATCGAAGGACATGCGCTATTATCTAACTGTAATTCGCAGATGTAAGTGTAGAATAATGGACAGCCTGTAGAAAATAGTAACGTAAATGAGCCAGGGTCTATTTCTTTCTCTGATTCTGAAAGCATGTATGTTACAAGTTGAGTGGCTGGAGCGGTCGCTCTTTGATAATAGCAGTCCTTTTAAAGATTTACTTTGAATTTAAATGTTGCAAATTGCTGAATGTAATTGCTATAATAACCCTTTACTACTACTAAATAAGGGGAATTTGATAGGTTGATTTCTGAATCTGTGAAAACAGTAATAGATCTTGAACTGCTTGATGTAGTAAAAATTAAAGAGTCCAAATCATTCCCTGAAGCATCTTTGAATGTATAGGTCAAAGTTCCACAGTATGTTAGAATATAGCTAGAGGAGATAGAGCTAATAAAATCATCAAAATAGTAAGGGTTAGGATCTTATATAGAGTTCAACTTGTAAGTCTAATCTGAAATTACAGAGGCACCAACAGATATAGTTGCTGTTTCACATGGAGATTTAAAGACAATATTGAAATTTACTATTGAAAACTTTGTTTATGATAATGTGCCAGTAAGAGCAATTGAATAAGCAGATGAAGGTGATAAAAGAGCCATATCATTTGTTGAGGCTATTAAAAATAATCTACTTCCTGAATAAAATGTCACCACTGACTAAATTTCAGAAGGTATTGTCGAATAATAAGTAAAAGGACAGTCACTAGCAGAAAGTGTGCTAGTCCATGCGATAAATGTAAAAGTTTTCGAATTTGAGGAAATATAGTAATCCTATTCTGCTGGTGTATTTGTAGTAATTACAGCAGAGTCACAATAGCTAGATATAGTAACTGTAAAAGTATTATAGACAGATGTATATGTGGTTGTCTCCCATTTTGTAATAGCATAAACTTTCAACTTGTAAACACCAATCTTAGATGTATCAACAGTAGTAACAGTTAAAATATTAGAACTAAGAGTAAAAATTTAATCAGCCACAATTTCATTATTCAAAGAGCCGACCCCTACTAAAGTGTAAGTAACTTATGGACAAATCCCAGACAAACTTTATGTAGATGTGATAGTTACCAAAGTAGTAGTGGTAGTAACTGTTGGTTTAGCTAAATGAGACTTATCAGTTATAGAAGGACTAATATTTATTGAGTCTTAATAACAACTTTTTATATCGAGGCTAAATGATTAAGATTATGTCGTTGTAGGGTAATTTGTTAAATATCCTGTTAGTTTCAAACTGTACGAGCTAATTTAGGCTTTTGATTCATCTTATGTATAAACAATAATTGTTCGATTTGAAGGTTCAAAAGTTCGTATGAAAGAACTATCAATAGCAGAACCATCACTTAAAGTTAATGTATAAGTTATTGTACAACTGCTTGTACTAGGAGTGATATCAAAAGCTGTGTATTAAAATGAAAGATATGGCTGAGATACATAGTAAGTCTAAGTTGAGATTGCCTTCTTGGTAATAGTAACTGTTGTACATTATGATTTTACTGTTAATTTGAACGATCCAGTAAATGTTTATCCATTATTTATAGTTACTTTGACATAGATATAATAATCTCCTACTTTAGATTCATCGTTTGATTGTACTGTTATTTTAAAGGTGCTAAATGTAGCAAAACTAGGCAGAGTACCAATGATTTCATAAGTATATTATGCATCCGAACATGAAGCTCCATTAACTGTAAAGTAACTTAGAAATGAATATTATTGTGAGGATTAGGCTATAGTATAGACTCTGTCTGGAAGAGTCGATGCTATTACATAAACAGGTACAGTATCTACCTATGTTATCATATTCATTGCAGTGGTAGCTGAGTTGGATACAGAAATCAAAGACAAAGCTGTTTAAGCAATAAATAACGCTGACAACAATGTGCTTGTTGATGCTATTCCACCTACAATAATGTTTGAAATGAATTAAATTTACTGTCAACATTAAATTGAATAGCAGGGGATTATGATAGAGAATAAGTAAATCCAATAGTACTCGAAGTAGTTCCAGATAGCATAAAAAGTCCTATTGATATATCATTTGAAGCTGTATAATCTTTGACTGGACTAGTATTGATAGTTTTAACTGAGCCTACGAAATAAAAATCTCCGCCATATTGACTTTTACCATGATAGAGAACATTGCCTGAGTCAGCAGATAAGATAGCGACTTTGTAGTAATAAATTTTTGCATTTTATTCGAAATAATCAAGGTATCCAAGAAGTATTTTCCCTGGCTTGTAAAGCAAGAAGTATACATTATTTTCATCCATTGGATCAATTTAAATGCAAGATTATGCATCAGTTAGTGTACTAGAATATATTAAGTAAAATACAAATTTACACAGCCTTAAAATTGTCAGTACTAAAATATTAGGAATCTGTAAGCACTATTCTCATAAACATAACTGAAGAACCATCAGTTTTATCCCCACAAGTCATTAAGTACCTAGGCTTATCTCCGGTTAATAACTAATATTATTCCAAGCGATCAATCGTATAGTATGATGATGGTTAAAGACCTTAAGCATAGGAAAAACTCCCAAGCTAATTAGAACTTTGATCGAACAAATGGATACTAGAATAAGTCTAAAAGATTATTATTAATTTCAGTACAAAATGTTTTACCTATGTAGAAGTTACAACAATTCCATAAACATAATATCTCAAGTTGATATCTTTGTCAAAGAAATCATAGATTCCTCTTGCAGAACTTCCAGTATCTCCAAGGATCTTAAAACTAGATGAAGTAGCCATTGATGAAGAAAGTTTGATATAAGCCCATTTTCCATTGTACTACGCAGCTAAAGATAAAGTAAATGAACTAAATATCCCTTATGGATATATATGGCCTGAAGCAGCAAACTAATATGTTCCTAGATGGGATCCATCTGATACTTATAGTACAGTTAATGCTAAGTTCTATCCTTATTGTGTATCTAAGGCAGCAATGATTTTCAAGTTATCCGATGATATACCAATTGCAGTAATTTCATTATATGATGAATCTAGACTCATTATCCACTTAATTGACCCACTTGATAGTACATAAACCACTAATGGATTGGGCATATTTTGATAAGAAACTAATGAGTAATCTGAACTGTATCCCCCTATAGCAGTGTTATCATATATATCTTAGTCCATCACTTTAAATACAGTGCTTCCTGATGTACCACCTGCAATTGCTGATATAGGATCAAAGCAGAATGTTTAATAAGATTGATCAATGGAGAAAGCTGTAATGATGCTGTAGAAGTAAATAAATAAGAAAATCATTTTACAGTATGATTTTGATATGAATGCTAAATATAGGCATTTGGTCCATTTAATAAATATATTAAATGAATCTTATATATTTAAATATCATTATAATCCAGCTAATATGTTTTTATGACTCTTAATTAATATTCCTAAATTTCACATTTTTTACAATTTTTTAGTTTTAAGGGGTTTTGGGGTTTTGGGG